GGAGGAGGAGGAGAGTCCAAAACTAGACACATAGGTTTAAGAGAGACCTGAGGGGCAACTTTTTCACGCAGTGGGTGGTGCGTATATGGAATAAGCAGGCAGAGGAAGTCATGGAGGCTGGTACAATTATAACATTTTAAAGGCATCTGGATGGGTATAGGAATAGGAAGAGTTTAGAGGGATATGGGCCAAATGCTGGCAAACAGGATTAGATTTATCTGGGATATCTGGTTGGCACGGATGAGTTGGACCAGAGTCTGTTTCTGTGCTGTATACCTCTGACTGTAAGTGAGCATGAACCACAGGATGCTAATTCAGAGGTCATTCCAATGGACAACCCGTATTTCCATTGTTGCTGCTTTCTCACAGCTCGCTGATTTTGATACATCTGGGCAACTGAAAGGCACATTACAAATTAAACTCTAAAGCAGTTATCTTGATCCACGTACAAAGGAACACTGCTTTCGAAGCACAACTATTCATTGACAAGTACATGAAACACCTGTAGATGTGTTGGGTGGTATAAGAGGTTTATAAAAATAATTCCTATATAGAATTCACCTTTGTCATTAACTACAGCGATGGTACTAGTAACTGAAATATGAATATAGTGTGGTTTCTTCCACAAGTAAGCAATCATTAGTTCTCATAGTCACAATCTGCATACAAATACAATAAAAGCCCTTTATCACTAATATGATTGCTGCATAGATTCTATTCACGAGAAACGACCTTGTTAAAAATGTGGATATAAAATGAACGTATGACAATTTACAAACTAATTTCTAGGTTGTCTCAAGTAGGACATGAAGTATTTCAAATTCTCCTCTTTAGATCAATAAAGAAACCAACATCACTGCTGTATGTTCCGGACATTATAAACAATTCACACAACATCACATAAAGGAACAAAAAACGTTTATTAACAGGCATTACAGCTAATCAGGCACAATATAACATAACACAAAATACTGTTAGATTTGTTTCTAATAGCTCTGCTAAGCAAATGGTATGGCCATCTGCAACTAAGATTTTGTCCCCCAAATAAACCTAATTTATTTTAAATAAAAATGTTTTTCCTGCTTACTCCTCAGTGACTCTGATATTAAATACACTATGACAATATCACTGAGCACTGTGGGGAACGGACGGAAAGATAATCTTCCTTTCAATTTAGACCTTTGAACAGGCATTAACATTAGGAATGCAGGAGATTGGGAGGGGATCAAACTGGTGTCCTCCTCCCCTGAGGCATTATTCCGAACGTGCTGCAGCTCCAATGTAATAAACCGCTGAAAGTGAAATTCTATGTTTATTCACTTCTGTGGAACAAGAGAGATTGAGGATATGCTAAGGACATTTTCTTCCAGCCAATAAATAATTTGAAGACCACAGTCAGGGACTGTCAATTGGACAAGGTACCATAGGCCACCCAGCATCTATTATTAGTGCACCTCATCATGAAGTGGACTTGAAGGAGGAGAGAAAATAGCCCTAAGAAAACAAAAATTGGCTACTTCGGCAACAGTTTTTGGCGGTCTCATTTTCAACCATCTGTGATTTAAAGGAATACTGATGGAGACTGAAAAAAAAATGTGTACTACATTCAACTTTAAATAACCATGGCAACAAATGTTGTCACTTAAAACAGGAATTATTTTGTTAGAAAAATTAAGATATTAATGTCACAAGCTTAGAAAATAACAAAATTAACAAACATTAACATCAGCATATTCTTTAAGCCGTATTTTCTCCTTGGTTTAAAAGACTGACAATAGCTTCAAAAACAAAACCCCTGTATTTGTAAACACAAAGAAAAGTATTCCCCTTAGTTGATAGTGAAAGGTATCAAGCAACACGATGAGAGCAATGTTGTGGGGCAAGAACACGTCCAATTCCGTCAAACAGCAAAAGACATTAACTCATTTTCCTGAAATACTGAACTACAGCTCTGAAAATCACGAGAATTCTCACTAATCTGTGGGAATTTGTAGATAGAAAGCCCATTCAATTTTCTGAAAAACAATACATCTACTTATCAACTGCTGATTTGAGCGAAGTTTTTAAAAAACTCAGTCAATTATTTTCTTGCAAGAACATTTATATTTTTTTGGTTAAAAACTCTTGCTGGTATGATCTCTCACTTACCAGCATTTTTGCCAGTGTTTTATGTTTTTAAAAACATCTGTTCAAGTGTCATTGAGAATTGTAATTGAAGCACTGTTCCTTATACACATTCACAATATTGTACAAGATTTGCTGTGTAAACCACTCACTGCTAGGCTGCCTCTAGTTTGAATGTTTCTCTTCAATGAATACCTAAAGAACAATGTTCACATGCTTATAACAAGATAGTGATATTCAGTGGCTCATTTTTACCATGCAAGCTATTCTGGCCTCTCTCTCTCTTTCTTCATCCCGTTCTCATCCAATACCTCTCACTTCCATTTGACAACTATCAGGATACGGAACAGCTCGAGTTTTCCACTTCAGAAATGAGGAAAGCTGTGGCACCTCTCTGCTCATATAACAAAGGTAGCAAATAAGGCTTCCAAAAGACCCACATCTAAACAATTTAATAGCACAACATCTTGTAAATTTTCCTAAATGTCTCATCAGTGGAACTTCTAGACAACAATTTCGAACCATAAGGCAAAGTGGATCTAAAATATTTTGTATAACAGCTCCCATCAGAAAATCTAAAGCTTTATTCTAAAAGTGGCTTAAACAGCCTGTATACAAATGAAAATGTCCCATTTCTGGGACATAGATAGTGTAGCACATAGCCAAGGAAACTACATTCAAGATCCAGGAGATTTCCTAGTTTGGTTGTGAACTTTCCAACTCATCTTCAAGCAAAGTTTGACTTTCATTGGAAAGTTATACTGACAATACTACACATGGCAAGATTCAACATTTAAATACAGAGAAACGTCATTAGCACAGAATACCAATGTTATTAATAAAGTCAACTATTAATCTGCAACATATTCTTAAAACACCATAGATTCTTCAAATTTAGATTTCCAGTAACAAAAAAAAAACAAAATTAATAAATACCTCACTCTCTCCTTCTTACTAAAAAAAATGCAATTGACAGCTTTAGTTCAACGTCTTTCTAGGGATCCAGAACAGAATACGTTTAATTTAAGCTGTAAAAAGACCACCATTACTGGACATGTGGAACTTTAGCCTTAATGCCATAGCGTGAACTCTTCCCCTAACTCTCTACTGCCCACACTATGTTTTGCTAATGTTACAGGTTTATCCTTACATATAGGCTCCATTCACGTTTTATTTAAAAAAAAAAGTAAAACCTGACCTGAAACATAGACACTGCCTGACCTGTAGAGTTTTTCTAGCAGTTTCTATCTTTATTTTCTTTCAATTACTTAGCTTCTGTTGGCACTATTTTTAAGACTGCAAATGTAAAGAGTTATGATTTGAAACAAATTGCCTTGAGATGCAAAACAATGATCCAATAAATAAATTTGCAATGCCTAGACAGCAACACTTGTGCAAAACCGATAAACTCAACAGCATGAATTAGTATATACAGAAAATCACAGTTTGGCATCATAACTTATGATTATTGTTTTTCCAGGTATTAAAAACTTATGTGATCATTTATAACTGTCCCTAAATACCCTTTTCTAATTTGAAATAAATCTGCAAAACTGTCAATCCTATTGTATTGCTCCCCAAAAAAAAAAAAAAAATTGATATGTTTGACAAAGTTTATTCTGGACAATCATTCATTCATTCACCTTCTCCATTTAAATCAAAGCAGTTTAAAAAAAAAAACTTGACAAAATGATATTGCAAACAATTTAGAAACCACAACAATTCTCTTTTAAAAGAATATTTGATTCCAGAAGGGAAGCTAGCAAAATAATAAGAAATACAGGTTCTGAATTCCCAGCATCACAGTTCAGATGAATGGCTGTAATGCTACAGCCACAACTTTATTGCAGACCAAGAGCCAGCATGTGATTCCCACCCCACCTGCAAAAACAAAGAAACTTTAGATGTGTATCCTTATACAAAGTCCTGTGTATTTATAACAAGAGTCCATGAATTATTGTGGAATCATAGAATTAAGAAGCATAATCTGTGTAGACCTCTGTAAACTAGAAGTAAAAAATGCATGCAGACAACACAAAGTTAGCTAGGAAAACCAAAATCTTCCTGCTCATCCCTTCCTCCCATTATGAGAATAGCGTACAGGACAAATAGATTCTTAGCTAGATACAATCAGCTGCTCCAAAATGAGTTCAGTATAAGTGATTATTAAGAAATTCTGATGATCCGCAAGTTTACCAAACACCTCTGCTTGTGACTGCTGGAATTTGATGGCAGTTGACTTGGTAAATTTCTATCGACTTTGTTGCAAGGATTTTACTTTGGACATCTCATGTTAAAAAGTCCTATTCCATTTTTATAAGTCTTGGTACCAATTAACTAAGAAAAAAAGACAAGTTCAGTTGGTATCGCCAAGGTTTCTGACCTTCAATAATTTTCATTTATGAAAAGTAGCATCTGGCTCTCACACAAGTGGGGCAGTGTGAAGGATTTTGTTATGGGAAAAAGAAAAAAGAAAATGACACTAATTCACCTGGAAACGTTGACAAAAATATGTTTTGTTCATAGATTTTTGTCTTGCACTTATCAGTACAATTCACATGAAATACAAATGTAAAGAGCAAACAACCTTTTCTTACACAATTTGTGAAGTGTGTGTTAATTGGTTGGCAAGTGAGCCAATTTGTGTTGAGGCATTACCATGGAGAATGCACCAATTAATTGATGACCGACAGCTAACTACCAAGCTTTGTTTAACTTTGAACTAGGCAGGTGACTACTGGTCACAGCATTGCCAAGGAATGAACCAGAGAACGGTTGTCACCTATTTATTTTATCAAGCTGAAAAAGATACAAAAGTACTATCTACAAAGAACAGAACCTGGTGCATTAATCTGTGTAGCTTCCAGTGCACACAGACTGCTTTAAATTGGTTGGCAACATAATGCTCAACACACTCAGGATTAATGAGCAAATTATGTCCAATTGCATAATTGCATTTGATATTGGAAATTGCATTTCTAATTTTTGTATGCGTGGTCTGGTTGGAAATGGTCAGGTCAATTTAAATGAAACTGTTCTTAATCATACTGTACCTTCTACTCCAGTTGGGAAAGCTACCATCCTCTCCAAAGGTGCCATCCATTTTCGTGGAAGCACAGCTACGGGTTCTGAATAATATTTCAATATCAGGGAAATCATTAAAACTGCCTGGAAGAGAAGAATCATGATATAATAATTTACACAGTAGTGATCTCAGCAAATATCAAGCTGATTCCTCCAACTCTAGCATTTTTCCAAAAGGTACCTACATTTAAATAAAGCTTTACCAGCAACCAGTCATAACAGTGTATCTTTTGTGATTCATATTACAGCATGAGATGTTCTAACGACATTGGTGCTATTGAATTTTAAGGGGCAGTACTACTTAAAGTAAACGTGGCCACTGCAGGAAGCATATGCAACACACAAAGCTTTAGATGTAGAAAACATTATATTCCAAAAATAATTTCTCTTATTCTGGACTGAGCCTCTGCTCACAACCCGGAAATTCAAAGAACAAAGCACAATACAGACAGGAACAGGCCTTTCAGCCCTCCAATCCTGCATCGTCACATTTTGTCCTTCCATACTAAAACTGTCTTCACTTACAGGATTCGTATCCCTTTATTCCCTTCCTGTTGTGCATGCGTCCAGGTACTTCTTGAATGCTGCTATTGGTGGTGCTATTTCACCACCTCCTCTGGCAATGCATTCCAGGCACTCACCATCCTTTGGGTGAAAAAGGTGCCTCGCACATCTTTTACATTCCTTCTCCCCCCACCCCTACACACACACCTTGAACCTGTGTCCCCTAGTAACTGACCCCCCGACCCTGGGAAAAAAAGCGTCACACTTCCTACTCTATAAGATTGTGAATAGCTTGGATAAACTTGGTCGCCCCTCAACCTCCTGCATTCCAGTGAAAGATCCCAGTCGATTCAACCTTTCTTCATAGGGAAAAGTCCCCCATACCAGGCAACAACCTGGTAAAATTTTTCTGTACCTACTCTGAAGCATTCATGTCCTTCTGGTAGTGTGGTGACTGGAACTCACTAAGTTGTCTATCGTTCTACTCAATGCCTCTTCCAATGATGGCAAGCATGCCATAAGCTTTTTTTAACTACTGTATCTACCTGCACTGCCACCTTCAGCGATCTGTGGACCCGAATACCCAGATCGCTCTGCATATCAATACATCTAAGGGTTCTGCCATTCACTGTATAATTTCCACCTGTACTTGACCTTCCAAAATGCATCACCTCACATTTAAGAGATAACACTGTGTGGAGCTGGAGGAACACAGCAGGCCAGGCAGCATCAGAGGAGCAGGAAAGCTAACGTTTCGGGTCGGGACCCTTCTTCAGAAATCTGATACTGCCTGGCCTGCTCTGTTCCTCCAGCTCCACACTGTGTTATCTCTGACTCCAGCATTGGCAGTTCTTACTATCTCATCTGCCATTTTTCTGCCCATGCCTCCAACTCATCTATATCCTGCTGTATCCTCTGACAATCCTCACTATCTGCAACTCCACCAATCTTTGCATCATTCGCAAACTTACTAACTAGACCAGCTTTTTCTCCAATCATTTATGTAGATCATAAACAGCAGACACCCCAGCACTGATCATGTGGAACACCACTAATCACAGATCTCATTCTGAAAGCATCCTTCCATGGCTACCCTGTTTCCTTTTCCCACCTGTGCAGACAACTTGCTGTAAAGATCACACCCAATTCTTTCTGTGGTGTCAGTGAATAAGCTCAATTTTGATTCTATCCTACTTCAATATCTCAGTACACTACTTGAACAGTATACAGCAAGTTACAGTATGGCTGTTTCATTGGGCTAAAGTCTAAATCCGAATAATGTGGAAGTCTTCCCTCTTTGCCAGCAATATACGTCCCATGTGCAATAAATCTGAACAATCTTGTACAAGACTGGAGTCTAGATTGTAGACTGCAAGTCAAAGGGGCACACCCTGACAAAGTAAGCAGATGATATCACACTAATGCAACAAGGTTCTTTTTCAAAAAATTGGGATGGAGCCACATTGCTAATATAGGCAGGATATACAGTTAACTCTGCATCTCGGATAGCTTGATAATGGCATAGTCAGAAAAAGGGCTTTAACAATTCAATAGCATTCGCTTACTGAACAAGGCGGATTCCAGAGAATGCAACCTGTTGTGACAGACTGCAAATTTTAATTTTGCAATTTGGTTATCAAGGTGGTCATTCATTTGGGAGTGTCAATGATACTTTTAACAAAAGAACAATAAGTCTATTACACAAAAGAAAATACATATGACAATTTTAAAAAGATTTTATTAACAGTACAAACAACAACCCTGTTTCCCCAAGCAATATCCTTTACAGATACTGCTCCCCAATGAAGTACCTGACCTATCTTCACTTCAAAATATCTTAATCGCAAGCATTTATTTTTGGCTATTTTTTGCACATTGTCTACTTGGACTACTAAAACAGTTCTTCTAGCCCTGATGGCATGGAAATTGTAAAAACTAAAACTGCCCTTTTGCTATTATTAATCTTTTCCATATTCTGTACTAAACCTGGTTGTAGCTTCTGACTAGTCCTTCTGGTCATAAAAGGTCAATTGCATAATCACCTCAATAAATTTCACAAGGTAGCAGATCTAGTCATTTATCTCAAGACATGTACTTTGCTAGAAATGCTGCTTTGAATTTACTCTTAAAATGGACTTTCTGACCTTTGAAACAAAGGTCACTTTCACAAAACTAAAAGCAAAAATCTACTTACCTCCACTTTAGTACAAAGCTCCCAAATAATAAATCATAAAGCTTCATCATATATTCCCTATCCTAAATGAGCAAACCTTTTACACTCATTTGTATTTCTAGTCCTTTATGTCACAGAAACATAAGTTATTATTTTCAAGTGTGGCAACTTAGCAGCCACTTTCCGCAAGAGCTCATTAACAGCAATGAGGTGACTACTTTTGATTAGTAGGGCAAAATTCTACATTTAAAAATACATACTCACCTGCACAATATAAAAAACAATATTCACCACCCACTTGATCTTTGCTAACTGTGCCGTTCTTGTTTTGACTACAAAAGAAGATATTCTGCTTAGTACACTGCTTTAGACAATCGACAGTAGATAATCTAAATTTATTTCAGAACAATGAGATCCCAACTAGTGCAAACCAGAAGTCATTAACATAACAAGATCAGGAAGGAAATGAATGTCTCTGAAATACTCTCAAATGGAGAAAGGTATTCTCCATCATTGCATTCAAAATTATTTTCTCAGCTTAATTAGAACTAGTCAGAAATCACAGGACACCAGGTTATAGTCCAACAGGTTTATTTAATATCACAAGCTTTCAGAGCATTGCTCCTTTTGTCAGGCTAAGTGACTTCACCTGATGAAGAAGCAGCGGTCTGAAGCTTGATGATTTTATGTAAACCTGTTGGACTATAACCTGGAGTTGTAGAACTTCTGACTCTGTCCATCCCAGTCCAACATCGGCATCTCTACATCATAACTAGAATTAGCTATTCCTCAAAAGTGGATACAATCAGCAAAACTGACCAACTTCCATTGAGCAGAATGCAGTGCTTGAAAAGTGTGGTGGCAGCTGGTTGAATAATCATTTTCAAACCAGATTTTGACAAATATTGCAAGACAATGCAAGACCAGCATTAATTAGATAACTTTTTCTAAGCAGCCAGTATTTGGCTCAATGGGCTACACTGCAGTAGAAAAGGCTACAGTGTGCTTTGTTAATATGGGTTGCAGGACCACAGTAAATTAGAAAGACCAAATCAATAATAGAAGAGAATCAATAGGGGTAGAGAGAAAAAGTGTGAAAACAACTGGAAAAAGAAGTTAGTCACTCAATGGTCTATAAAACGTCAATCAAGGATGATGCAGATTTCACCCAGAGCTTAGATCAATCTCTGTCCCCATTATTTCAGATAACAGTTGTTAGTATTGATTTCATTATTGCTATTTACAGTTCTGGAGCCTTTTTTTTGTTTCTTGCCACATTATTATGTTCTTTTGCCTTACACCATAATTTCAAAAGCTGTTTAATCACTACTTACCTCCACTTTTATCACAGACTTTCCCTTTGGTTCTTTTCTCATTTTCGAAGCCCCTGAACTTGCTTACAAGTTGCTAAATACTGCTTTGGCCATTAAACCAAATGTTGGCTGTTTGGAAGAACTATCAATCTAATTAATCTTTAACATCATGTAGCTCTGACAAATGGTCGTCAACCTTAAGTGTTAAATCAGTTGTGCTTCAGATACTGCCATACCTGCGAAGTATGTCATTTCTATTTTTACTCCAGATTTCCACCATCTGCAATGGTTTGCTTTTGCTCAAATAAATTTGTTTTTTTTTCTCCAAAACAAAAATAAAGAACTTTCCACCTCGATGGCTCAAAAGGAAAACGTCAAGGCAAGCAGAGATTTGACCCGAAGCAGAGTTAACTAATTTCAGCAACAGCAATAGCTTTGGTCATAAGAACAGAAGAAGGAGTGTGAGGCAAGAAAAGGAACAGAAATCTTGATAACCAGAACATATACAGACATGTTGAATGTTACGTGTGAACATGAGATGAGGAGATGGATTGGATCTGCATGCTGTCACACCCTATTGGCATTAAACTTTATGGCTCCCACATGAACAAAATACTAGACAGAGTGCCTGTAGAGCTACATCGATGAGAGAGTTGATGACTTCAGAAAAATGGGAACTGGTGACAGAGGGCTAAATAATATTACATTTGAGATATTAAGATCCCCCTAGGCTGAGTTGGTGACAGAGAGGAGTAGAAAGAAAACAAAAAATCAGACAAATCTAAATTCATAAACATAATTCTCCAGATCCTCTTCCATTCAAAGTGTCAAAATGTCACGGTAGGGAGTGTGTGGGAAAGCTCCAATGATTTTTTGTTCCTCAATCTCTCAGTTTGAGAGTTCAGACTCTTTTTTTTTTTTAAAAACTTTTGCCTGCTACAGTCTTATAAAGGGGAAACAGGTTTCTCAGTACCATGAGTTTTCAGTTTATCAGTCATTTTATTTATCTTGCGCTCCAGCCTTGCGTATCTGGCAAACTCATCCATCATACTGATTGTTGCCAACTCCTGCTTCATGTTTCCAATTTCATATCTCATTTGGAGCTCAGTCTCTCCATCTTTTTGCAGAAGTCTGGCCACCTGAAAAAGACATCCAAATAGAAGTGTTTTCAGTAAAGTACTACTTAAATCTCTTTCCACTTCTTCAGCACAAAATTACGTTAAATGTTACAGTATAAAAGGAAACCATTCAGCACATCACTGTCTGCACCAGCTGTCTAAATAAGCATTATGATGGAGTGCCAACCTCCTGCCTGTTTTCCATACTCTTACATATTGTTTCTATTTAAATAATGTTGTTATCTAATGTTACCTTGAATGCCTTAAATGAACCTGCCTCCAGCACGCTATCAGGCATTGCATTCTAGGTTTGAACCATTTGTTGTCTGAAAAGGTTTTTTCTCCTCACCTTGCACTTACTTCCTTTGCATATCACCTTAAATCTGTGCCTCCTTGTTATTGATCATTTTGAGTGGGAAGATCCCCCGTTTATTTCATCCAGCCTCCTTGTAATTTTGAGAGCGTGTTTCAGAACTCCTCATAGCCTCTTCTCTTCAAGGAGAACCGTACTAACACAAGACCATAAGATACACGAGCCAAATTAGGCCATTTGGTCCATCAAGACTGCTCCACCATTTCAGCATGGCTGATATACTTCTCAACCCCATTCTCCTGCCTTCTCTCCCCATAATCCTGGAGCCCCTTATATTCAAGAATCTTTTAATCTCGTCTTAAATAACTCAAAAGACTTAGCCGCCACAACCCTCTGCAGTAATGAGTTCCACAGATTCATCACCCGCTGGCTGAAGAAATTGCTCCTCATTTCAGTTCTAAAGGATTTTCCCTTCACCTTGCTGCTGTTCAAAACTGAAATTTCTCATCTCTGGAGCTATTCTTATAAATTTCTTGCACTCTCCATTGCATTCACATCCTCCTTATGGTGTGGCACCCAGTACACAATATTCCAGGTGAGATCTAACAAGTGTCTTATACAAATTCATCATAGTCTCAGTGCTCGTACTGTATGCTCCAACTAACAATGCAGAGGATACTTCATGCTTTATTAACTACTCTCGCTACCTATCCTGCCAACTTCAATGATTTTCATGCATGTACACCCAGGTCCCTATGGTTCTTTAGGATTGTACCCGCTACGTTATATTGTCTGCCCGTGTTCTTCCTACCAAAATGCAGCACCTCACTTCTCTGTATTGAGCTTCAACTGTCATCTATCCATTCACTCCACCAACTTGTCTCTGTCCTTTTGGGGTTCTACACATTGAAGAGGTAAACTAAACTGTCTAAGTTTATGAAGCTTCCAAAGTTTCAAATCATCCACAAACTTTGAAATTGTACCCTGCACTCCAAGATCTAGATAATTTCAATTTATCAGGAAAAGTAGGGGAGAGCTCCTGGGGAACTCCATTACAAACCTTCTTCTAGCCGGAATAATATCCCTTGACAATACTTTGTTTCCTGTTATCAATCAGCAAATTGTTGCCACAACATTTGAGGTTGTAGACTTGCTCGCTGAGCCGGTATGTTTGATTGCAGATGTTTCATCACCCTACTAGGTAACACCGGAGGCGTACTGACGATGTTACCTAGCAGGGTGACGAAACGTCTGCAAACACACTGGCTCGGTGAGTAAGTCTACACCATAAGCTGAGCCACAAGCCTTCTCAAAACCTTTCGTTACAATATTTATGCATAAATCTCTGCATGGCATTGTATCAAGTGTCTTCTGAAAGTCTATGTACACCACAAAAACATTACCCTCACTGATCCTTTCTATTATACTCTTCAATACCTTTTGAAACCAATGGTGACTCTTCCTAATCAATACCATTTTCCACGTGATTACTTGTTAGGTGATGACCTAACAGGACTGAAACACTTCGGTTCCCCTTCACTAAAGGTGACCTCAAGGTTACAGCAGGTGGAAAGTAGGAGGCTGGCTAGGAGTGTGTAGGAACAGTCTGATGTTTAAAAAAAAACAAACACTGGATATATATTTTAACAACAGGGGCAGAGACAAATGACGTTAGTGAAATGAATATAGGCACTTATTGATGGGATGGGTATATGGCTGAAAGCTCATCCCCTGCCAGTTCTCAATATTCAGGCTTATGCTGTGTGTGACCACTTGGGCAGGATTAAAACACTTGCAAGCATCTTCAACAAAGTACTGAGTGGATAATCTTACTCGGCCTGAGCTCCCCACCATCTGTCTGCCTTCAGCAGAATTCAGTTCAGTTCACACGTTAAATGACAGATCATGACAACATCCTGCTGATAGATGGTGCACAGGTCTTCAAGACTGTAATTTACCAGACAGTGGAAAATTGCCTAGATAGTCCTATCCAGACATAAAAGGAGAAAAATCTCTCTCATTCTGGATGCGTGCATCACTTCAAAAGGTTCACTACTATTCAGGACAGAATAGCTGGTTTATTGGGCCTCTCCATATTTGATGTCCATCCTCACGACAGATAATCTACATGGTGCACTGTTGAAACTCACTCACAGTCTCAACCACCATGAATAACATGCAGACTAGTTACCTTTAAGTTAAGAACCATAACTTGGATACACATTACCGTTCTTCCACTGTCCACGGATAAGAGTCCTGGACTTCCTTGTCCAATCCCTCTGTGGGATTTATTAGAACAACTAGAGAAAGAAATTAATTGCTACCTTGTTCACAATCCAAGTACAAACTGAAAAAACTTGAAGGTCCTTTTGAAATCTTAATCAAACATTAAATCACCAATGTCAGGTGTAAATTTCCAAGGGCAAAAAAAAAATCAACTTTAACTTAATGAAGTTAAATGCCCAAATCTGTAATATGGGGAGCATTTTCACATTGTAGCTCACAACTCAAGGGGTTTGTTGAGGAAGCAAATATCACAGGTTAAGTAAACCCACAGTATTTGTCTTGTGCCTCCCAGGGCCTAGCTAGAGTGGCACAGTATTCCTTGCCATTCCATGGTTGACTAATTTGCTCCTTGTTAAGCACTTCACAATGGATAGTGCTCATAATGCTGAGAAGGGAGGGAACTGTCATTGGATAAAAGAATTAATAAAGTAAACGCTTTGGGTTTTTTTCTAAATTGAATCCTTATTTTCCTAAGTTATAACTCATTATTTGATGTTGCAAAATATATCACTTACAAAAGGAATTAAAAACAGTAATTGATATTCGAAGTTTCAAGCTGATTTTACAAAAAAAGTGGACAAGGTCATTGTACATTATAGTTTTTTTTTTTAAAAGAACTAGGTCAGTTGGAAAACAAACCTTAGCAAATAGGAAGAGACCTTGTTGCCTAGAGCTGGATTTGAAAGTTAAATCACTCCCAATCCAATTTACGCATGCAAGATTAATTCTACACGTGGACCAGATTTCTGCTATCCTGCATCAGGAAAAGATGCAGACTCACTTGTTCTGGAAAGGTCAAACAGTACTTTAGTTCAAACACACAATCTTATTAAAAAAGACAAACTTTAAAAGAAACTCAGAATGTTACTACCAGACATTAATGGCGATGCTTTCTCAACATGAAAATTACATCTACTAGATGTGTAGTTTTCTACCACTGCACTGCTTCAGTCTACGATGCTGCCAAATTAACCTCAATTGGATTAATGCTACCTGATGAAAAGAATGGACTCAGCAACTGAAGAAAGTATTAGTTCCAGATCAATATCGGTTTGAGAAGCTGTTCCTCCCATTTTTGTTCCTCTGAGTCAATGCTTTACAAAAAACTGACATTAAAACCGGCAAAAAAAAACAAATAATGCAGCATACACTAGTAAAGTAGTAGTGGGGTTAAGATGAAGACACTATTTCATGACAGACTTAAAAGGTGGAGGGAATCTGAACAACAGATTACATTTGTAAAATGTATTTACCATAACACAATATTCCAAGGCATGTGATCGAACAAAATTTTGACACGACTTTTGAAAATCAAGGTGCTTTCAGACTGGGAGGCAATGTAGACCAACTAGAATAGGGTGAGTGAGATGTTGTGCAAGTTAGGGTATGAACAGCATTTTCGATTAGATAAAGTTTACAAAAGATACAAGACAAAGATAGATGGAGATTTCAGCAGATGACCCGAAGCAGTATAAATTTAGGCAACATTACTGGGGGGACGTAGGCAGTCTTGGTGATGGACAGGACGTAGGCTCAGAGGTTCATCTCAAAGACAAATGGGAATCTGTCAGAATTGGGCATCTTTGTCTTAAATGTTTTACTTTTCACATCCACAGTGATCAGATTAATGACAGAAATCTAATGCAATATTATATAAAGGAGTGCTTTTACAAAATGGTAATTGTATAGAATCATAGAATTCTTACAGTGTGGAAGCAAGCCATTTGGCCCATTGAGTCCACACTGATCCTCCAGACAGCATCCTACCCCGTCCTAACCCTGTATTTCTCTTGGCTAGGCTACCTACCTGTACATCCCTGGGCACTATGGGAATTTAGCATGGCCAATCCACCTAAACTGCACATCTTTGGACTGTGGGAGGAAACTGGACCACCCAGAAGAAACCCACTCACACATGGGGACAACGTGCAAACTCCACACAGACAGTTGCCGGAGGGTGGAATCAAACCTGGGGCCCTGGCACTGTGAGGCAGCATTGAGGATAAGTAGAGGATTTATTGATCATAATCGAGTAGGAGTTCATAATCCTACAACAACTGCATGACGGCAACCCAAGTCCAAGGAAATGATGAGACTTCTAAATGAATTTAATACAAAATTAAAAGCCAAAATTTTGACTACAACCCTGGAACCTGCAATGAAGGAGGACAGGTAACCCACTTTCATCATCACCTCCATCCTGCAAAAGGCATCTGGAGAGCAACATGTTGAAAGCTTGACGGTGGCCATCAGTACCATCAAAACTCTCAGAATCACCACCACCTTAATGGGTCATCCTTTAGTTTATGTATTTGTAATGTACTAACCAACCAACCAACAATATTTAGGATTTCAATAGTAAGTGTTGTTCATAGGTTCCTTTGTGTGCTTTATGTGCAGATAATTCTTTAGGGATAATGAC